GTAAAAATACCACCTTGCGACCTGAATAACGGATTTTGTAATAGCCTAACTTTTGCTTTTGCACAACACAGCTCCTTTACAGGGCTGCAAACCGGGTTATAATCGAACCGCCGTTTTTTCGTTTTCATTTTGAAATGGCAAACCCGAACCGAAAACCACTCAAAAAATTGTTCGATTCGGTTCCACTAAAGCATTTTTCAAGTTTTTTTATACCCAACTTTGCCTAAACTGCTGACCTTTTTTTGTTTGATGGCAACACCGTGAGGTGATTAAAGCGTGCTCGAGCAAAAAAAAAAAAACATGCCAAAAAAAAATTCAAAATGCTAAGTATGCAGTTCTAGTCTACTTTACTAGACTTAAGACTTCTCAAAATTTTAAAAAGGTTTATTCAATTTTTTTAACCGACTTCACAAAAAGGTTATCAGTTCGTCGGAATATTTTTGTATGTTTTTATGTATGTTACCGCTTAACTTTGGACCACGTTAACCGATTTTTAAAGGAACGGTGTTACCTCACAGGTGGTCCCGTACTAATTTGTTTTAAAACCGATTATTGGATCATGAAGAAGTTAACGATAATCTTAAATTTGTATATGAGAATTGAAGTCGGTTTTTTTTTTTGCTTACAAATGAGTTGTTTTTATTTCACCTTACTGAGTATTTGAAAAAAAAAATACATAATAATTATAGCATTTTCCAAGTATGGACGCCAGTTCATTATCGAGAGTTCTTTGACATAAGTTGCGTTTTTTTACTCATTTCCAGTAAAATCCAGTGAAAGTTTTTACGAATTTTCATGTTTTGGCGTTTTCGTACGCAAAAACTTGCAAAGTAGGGGAAATTGAGAGAGCGAAAAATGACAGCTGAAGTTGCAAGTTTTTACTGGATTTTACTGGATAAATTTTTACTTGTAAGAATTTGCCAGTACGAAAAACAGCTGATCGCATGTTGCTGTATGAAATTTAAACTAATAAGGAAACTGTTTGTGGATTTTTATTGTGGAAATTTTCAAAACAAACATATTTAAATATAAAATATATCGTTTTATTGGGAATATGCTGCGAATAAACAACCAATTTATCAGCTGTTCATGAAACTTGCAAATTATTACTGGAAAAGCGTTCGCGTACTTTTTTGCAAATTTTTTCTGAGAGCGAATTCTTAGAAATAAAGTTACTGGAGAGTTACTGGCAAGTTACTGGATAATTTGTAAAAAAACACAACTATAATAATAGTATTTGCAATTAACAGAGCAAAGTTTTGATGCATATCTACGTATGTTAGGGTGGTCCAAAATAAGTAAAGTCGGTCTTTAATGCTCTCACACCCCCTAGGATTATTCTATATCGACAACTTTTCGTAGACTTTTTATTTATCCGCCCATTGCATTTTCTGGGGGTTTTTAGCGGACTATTTAATAGTTACAATGAAAAAATTGTTAACCCGAATCCATCGTTTGTATCAAATTGATGCGAATTTCGAAAACATATTAAAATATTAAGAAAAATAGTTATTGTTTTGAATTGGTTTTTTTGCGACAAATGCGTGTAGGTACATAGATCTTTCAAGCATTTTTATTCTTATTATCAGAAAATGAATAAACGTTGGCCATTAATAAAAAATGAAAAAATCCAACATTTCATTGGATACAAGGGTTTTTTCCATATGTATCAAATTGATGCACAACGTACTTTGTGTTACAAAAAATTTCCGATGGATGCTGGTTAAATAATTAATTGGGTATTATTACTGGGAATCTCCTGAAGAGTAACAAAGATTTCTACTAAAAAAATATTGATTTTCAAGAACTATATACCGTTTCTACGAAAAATGGTTTTTCCCCATATAAAGTACATGGCAAACTTTGAGCGCTTTCAGCGACCTCTAAATATTTTTTGATTTCGAAATAAAAAAAAAAAATTGGTATATTTTTTTCGGTATAGAACACTTCTATGGGGTGAGAGCATAAAAGTTCCGACTTTAATTTTTCACATGCATTTTTGGAGTACCCTAATGTACATATGATGTGGATATTTAAACTTGATCTCTTTTATTTCTATACCTATAGTAATTGTCAAATTTTTTGTGATATTTGTATCAGTTAGTGTAAAAAATTTAACCCTTTGGACCGAACCGAACCGTATCGATTTTTGGAGGGGTTTGCAGCGCTGCTAATTTTAGCAAATAATGGGGTCTTGCGTGCAGGCTCTCAATGCTCAAGGCAACAAATGCGGGTGTGTTCATTCTTTAAGAAAGGTATGTAAGTAGTAGTCAGTAATTACACAGCAAACAAAAAAGTTAGCAGAAAAACATTTAGCAAAAATTGGTAAAACACAAAACGAAATTGAATCACATAAAATATGGCACAATTAGTATTTTTATCAGCGGGGATAAATATACATATGTATGTATGTATGTATAGCTGGTTGGTTGGTAGAGACGTAAGCGAACATCAAGAAGCCTTCTTAGAGAGAAAGAAATTAATGCATACAAAATAAACTTTTGTTATTAATCAAAAATCACAAGACCAGCATAAACAAACAAATTCATTTGTTAATATTTCACGTTCAAGTAACAAAAAACACAATCTTCAATTCCACCTGTTTAGCCAAATGGCAAGCCCGCGCCGGCGAGTTGATAATTTCGTAATAGAATACGGAAAAGTTGAGGGCGAGACCTAAGCGTATCGGATGTGTTGGCTGCATTTTGCCCTTAGCAATATCGAATGCTTCCTGATATGCCTTTTTCGAGTCCTCAACCACGCCTGTTAACAAGCCGAAGCCACCAAGTCACAAGAAGTTAAAATGGTCACAGGAGATTTTTTTTAATTTTTTTTAATTTTTTTTTTTTTTTTTTTTTAAAGCAAAACGCGTGATTATAATTGAATTGATTATTTATGCGTGCATTTGTGGGTGTGAAGTTGTTTAGCACACGAACGGAAGGAGTAATTTTGAGAGCAGAAAAATCGATGAGCACATGAGAAGGTAATGAAAAGAAAAAACAATAAAACAAAAAAAAAATTAGAATTAATCGGAATTAATATTAAAATCAGACGAACAAAGTGGTTAAAGAAAATTTTAAAAAATCTATGGAATAGTATGTACATAAATAATTTTTGTGCTAATATAAATT